TTTATTTTCAATCATAGAATACGGTGATGCAGTATTGTACAATCGTTGCGGGACACCCTGTATAAGAATGTCACAGAAGCCATAGGAATAAGCAAAATTATCACAGAAACAAATGAAGTATACTTTACATTAGCCTCAGATTGCTCATGGTATCTGATTTGCACAACAATGTTTGTTGAACTCAATGGTGCCCATTTTCTCAAACTGTCAGAAATCTTGGTTGGATTTTGTTTCGACTTGGTTATATTTTATGACACTTAGTTATATTTTTAGATTTCCTATTCTGCACAGGGTGTGTCAAATTCGTTGTCTGCATAGGCTATCTCCGAAACTAAAAGAGATATAAAAAAGAGCCGTAAAATCGTTTTTTGTTTTGGCCCTATCGGCAAAAACTGAAAAATTTCAACAGTGATTAAGCTGAGGTCGTTTAAGCAAGACTAACATGACCTTCATGATAGTCCAGAATAAGCAGAATTAGCACTGCAATAATTGACTCTGTGTAGCCTGATAGATGCCAGGATGTAAAAATTAATAATTACATATCTAACTTTATCCCGGTCACTTTAGGAGTGCCCCAGGGTAGTCACTTGGGTCCGATTCTGTTCGTGGCTTATATAAACGATATCTATGAGTACTTTCTCCATAGTAATCTTTTATTATAAGCCGATGATTGCAAAATATTTTCCAAGGATGAATCTTTTTCCAATTGCGAAAAACTTCAAAACGATCTTAACTGCACTAATAATTATCTCTTTGTAAACTATGGCAAATGCAGTCAAATAACGTTGACCAGAAAAAGATACACTATAAATCAAAACTTGGATCTTGGCTTGGTGCTCGATTGCAAACTGTTATTCTTCTATCACGTAGAGCTTATTAGTAGGTTTTGCGTGTGATTGATTTTCACATAGGTGTTTACAGTTTCATCTACTAGTGCGAAAAATGAATCACCAAAGAAAATTATCGGTGGAAGAGGCAGTACGAGCATCAACTCTGCTGGATGAGAGGTACTCAATGCGTTTTATTGCCAATGTGTTAGGAAGGAATCATTCCAGCATAAGTCGTATGATTAGACGGTTTATTGAAACTGGATCTCACATTCGCAGATCAGGGCAAGAACGAAAACGATGTACCCACCAAAGGGATGACCGTTTTCTGCGAGTATCCGCTCTTAGAAATCGGACAATCACTAGTAGTGTTAAAAAATCGGCTATTAGAGGTTCGTAGTGTTGCAATATCGTCTCGAAGAATCAGAAGACGTTTAAATGAAACCGAATTATTTCGTAGAGAGCACAAAGTTCAAAGATTGCGTTTTGCCCGAAATCACCAACATTGGTCTGTTAATGATTGGAAAAAGACTTTATTCTCTGACGAAACGAGGATTAGCTTAAAATCTCCTGATGGACTTGTCTAAAATCTCCGGTTTTGGGGAGCCATCTGCTTCGATGCTCGCACAGCGTTGGTCCCTATACGTGCGAGGTCTATGAATGAAAACATCGTACTTGAAGACGTAATGCCATTTACTCCTTTTTTGGGTCCTAATTTTGTATTCATGCAAGATAATGCACGTCCTTACGTGGCTAGACAGGTTATTGACTACTTGTATGCTGTTGATATTCAGTTCATGGATTGGCCACATAACAGTCCCGATCTCAATCCCATAGAACACTCATGGGACTATATTTAAAAAAAAGGTCCGTGGTCGTAGACTCCTACCTGCCAACCACAATCAACTGGTGGATGCAGTAATTGAAGAAATAAATAAAAGAAAAAGTAATTAAATCAAAATTTTCCGTTATTTTTTGAAGGGTTGGGTTCATAATGTTCATATATCAAAGTACCCTTAAAATTCACTAAAGAATCATCACTTGAAGTTTGTTGCAGTCATTCAGATACACCCTGTATACTTCAATAAACAATAAAATTTCGTTTATATATATTTTCCAAGTTGAACAAAGTAGACATTGAATTTACGGTTAGACCTACATAGTACGGTCGATTTGATCGGAATTCACGACCATTTGGTACCCCATCGATTGTAAACGCATTAGTGGTCGTTGGGGAAATACTGCAAACTAGTTTAAGGCGAGGTTTACACGATTTCCTAATTAAAATGATATTTCATGTAATACAAAAAATCCTTTTGAATCAAATCTCTTTGATTATCTGAATAGAATCGAACACAAGAAAATTCCCCTTTCTAATCGAACCGCCACTTAATGCCACTTAGGGAGTACATCGCCCCCTTTTGTCTTCTCTTTTGTGCGTTCGATTTCGCCCCCTCGAGCGATGAAGGGAAGCTAGCTGAGTGGCAAAACACGTTCGAACATGCATTCCAATTCGTACAGACGGTGACGACGACGGGAGTCGTTTTGCTTAAGAATGGGGGGGTTGCGTCGAAAATGCCTCGCGTTCCTTAGTGCTGTAGTTGGCATTGAACCGCGATTATTAATAAAGTTTAGAAATGCCAAGCGAGTCCGCGGTGGGCGGAGAGCAACGGGGTGAACCCTTTCAACCGGAGCCCATCGATCGCGAGCGGCCCTTTTTGTGTAGATTGCGCCCCTTTAATACGTCGACGCTGAAAGGAGCCAATTTTCAGACCAGAGAACCGGTCTCTGCGTTTGTCACGTGACCTCCACCAACCAGTTCGACTACTTGCTGCTGAAGAAGATTGAATGTCGATTCTAAGAATTTTTGTTTCTACCACGAAACCTTAATTGAAATGTCAACTGATCAAAAAGAAATCAAAAAGGAAGTATGGAACAACACAACTTTACTAGTTGGATGTGCTAGTTGGATATAGTGTTTGTGGGGGTTGTTTGGGTGGAGGATTAATACCTAATTCGAACGAGCCCCTCGTAATAAACCGATACAACAGAAGTGCATTAACGAGGAAATAGCCTTGTGTCGTGTGTTTCCACTCGTTTTCCAACCCGAAACGACTAGGAAAGGTGTAGCTGCGGGGAAAACGGGGATTCCCCCCTGTGTTTTTAATTTCGCGATATCGCCAGTCGTAATTCAACGGGAACGAGGACGTAGACGGCGGCGTCGAGTTATTGGGTCGCACCGTAGGTGGCGGAAAAACCCGCCCCCGCGCCTCCCAATGAACCGGGTTGGAGGCGACTCGACGTGAAAACGCCGGAGGACACCAGCTGGGCTTGTTATTAAATTCACGATACATAATTTAATCCCGACGCGGGGTTTACAGTTGCTTCGAAATGAAAGGGATGTAGTTTGACAAAAAAAATATTTAAGAGTTCAAATTATACAAAGAAAGAAAATAGAGTTTAAAATAATCAGAAATGATAAAGTGTTTTAGCCATATCAAAATCATAACTCAGCTCTTTCATATCATAGGATAGATACTTTTTTTCCAGCATTAATTGTATCTTATTTAATCTGCGCAAAAAATTATGAAGCAGCAGTTGGTGAGTTACGTGGAGAGTAATTGCTTGCTGCCTCAGGAGCAATCTGGCTTTCGAAGTTGTACAACTGCAATGTTGCACCTAACTGATGATATTCTTACGAACACGGACAATGGATTGTACACTGCTGTAGTCTTCCTGGATTTTTCTAAAGCGTTTGATACCGTTAATCATGCAGTTTTGGGTGAGATTCTGTATGATTTGGGGTTGAGTTCAGAGGCGGTATCTTTGTTGGGTGACTACCTCTGCGATAGGTCTCAAAGGGTAAGGATCGGTGATGATTTGTCTCACACAATTAGAGTTTTGNTGAGAGGAGGTTCTAGAATCGGCTTTTATCTACTACTCTTGTTCTTTTCGTGATAAACCGTGGGATTCTGGAATATTATAAATCATCAGATTATTCTTCCTACGCTCGCGTCATCACTTCGTGTATAATTTTTTCGGAATCAAAATCAGTTAAAGAATGTGAAGATGGCGGAGTAACATTTGATTTCAGAGCAGCAATATCCTTCTGGAGAGAGAGTATAACGGCTTTTGGACTGTTTAAGTCTAAAAATTAAGATTACTTTCCACCCGCTGCGTCATTTATCCGCGATATTATATTTACCACCCGCTGTTCCAAGTCAAAATATACAAGACCCGCTTTTGACATCGTATTAAACCGGGGATCAAAGACGACAAAGACACCCTCTTCATCTTATATCACAAAGATGGAAATTTTCAATTCGCATAATTGAAAAAGTCGAACTCCGCAGCGCGGAGTTAATTCTAAGCCGATTATACTAACTTTGAAAATTGATTATTGAATTCGAAAAGTTTGAAATTGGGGCGATTAAAAAACTTTTCCATCGAAACAAAATTAAAGGAAAATCGTAAAAACTTTTATTACCTACCTGCATGTAACCGCCTTCGCAGTGACTAGAGTTGACCAATACGCCGACTTTAAACTTGTTGAACTTGATGCGCAGGATCCAGTCCTTGGGGGTTCCCCGAAACGACCTGAACCGGTACGAGCACGTCATCGGCTTTCCCGCGTTCTCCGTTGTCACCTCGGGACTCGATACATCTTCGTAAATGTCCACGGTTTTGTTGCAATGGTCCTTCTTACCCTCGGCTGTAAAGAAAAAAATAAACTCAAAACCAAGATAGATGTAGATGTATAGATAAAAGCTCTTATATTACACCATCATTTATTACAACATTTTAAGTTTTCATTTAATAAGAAGTAAAAAACTACTAAGACTAAGACGAAAAGGGATGGAATAAAACGCAAAATAAAAAAAAACCTAGATAATAGAAAAAAAGGGGTTAGACGTTGAATGGGGGGTTTTTGGGGAGTAAAAGGGAGGGTTAATCCCTTGAAACGGTGGGGCCATTACACCTGACGTCTCGTAGGGTTTTTCCGGCTTACGACGCTGCCTAATTTAATAAATATAAAGATTAGCTCTCCCGGCTATTCTGGGGGCTCGGGTCGGCGGAGAAGCTGGAAGCGCCGGAGGAGGGTTGATTTCGCGTAAGGGCGAAACGGTCGAGCTAAAATCGGCTTTAACCAAATGTTTCGGAACGGAGTTTTCACGGGCCGTAGGTTTTGGGGCGCGGAATTCATTAGCGCCTCGCGTTGGGTTTCGTCGAAATTAAGGTAAATGCGAAACTGGAGGGAGAATACGAAAAAATATAAAAGAGAATGAGGGTGGTTGGATGGTTGGTCGGGGTAATGAAAGGAACAGTGGGGTTTGTAATCGTGTTGGTACGCTTAGGACATAGGTTCTTTTTTGTAGACTTCAAAGTTTCAACATCATCTATTAATGTTACTAACAACAGGAAGATACGAAGTAATTCATGAAAGAATATGCACTCTAATTGCCCTACGGAGGAGCAAGACACAGAAATTAAAAGGAATTTTTACTCACACCTGGCTTCAGCCTAATAATGGGCGACATGAACTCTCTGCACAAGGAGATTTTGCAAACAGTAAATTAATGAAAGAGAAACAAGAAGAAAGTAGAGACGTTCTGACAGATAGAAGGGCAGCATGCAGCAGAATAAGTAACTACAATGACCAGAAATACAGAAGAGTTTCCAAAAGGAAATTATTAGAATACTGATAGTATTCTAAGGTTGGATTTTGTTTCGACTTGGCTACTTTTACATTTCCTATTCTGCACAGGGTGTGTCAAATTCATTATTACTAGGCTATCTCCGAAACTAAAAGAGATAGAAAAAAGAGCCATAAAATCGTTTTTTTGTTTTGACCCTATCGGCAAAAACTGAAAAATTTAAACAGTGATTAAGCTGAGGTTTAAGCTGACCCCACGACTTATTATTTTATGTGTATTTTCTAAACTATTAATGCCCGTTTGCACCGCAATAGTTAAGCGTCGCTTTACGCTAAGCTTTCCTTAAATTTTGAAATCGGTTTGCACCGTTGTTTAAGCTACGCTTATTCTCAGCTTAATTTAAGCGTTCAATGTTCGGAGTTTACCGGTTAAGCGTAGCTTTAAATTACGTGAAAAAATTTATTTGTCATTGTGTGACGTGAAAATTGTGAAAACATGGATATTTTTGACGACGATGAAGATATGTTTGGAAATGATGCAGAAATATTAGAGATTGTTGATTATGGATTTCCTAAACGGATATATCTACGGCGCAATCATTTTGAAGATTTGGATAACCTTACATTTTTTCAACGATTTCGTTTAACAAAGAATACTGTTTTAAACATTTTACCACTAATTGAAGAAAAGCTTGAATATCCTACAGACATGTACGTAAAATATTATGTAAATAATAAATATGTAATTAATTATTGATTCTTTTTGTAGAAATAACAGCTTAAGCCCTATGGACCAATTATTAACATGTCTACGTTTTTATGCTACAGGTGGACATTTGTCAACCATATCAGATTTTATGGGGACTCATGTTTCTACATCATCAAGAATTATTAAAAATGTTTCAATTGCATTAGCTAGTCTATCTCATGCTTACATAAAAATGCCAACAGAAAATAATATTCAAAAAATACAAAGAGATTTTTATAATATTGCATTATTTCCAAGTATTGTAGGATGCATTGATGGCACCCACATAAAGATACAATCTCCAGGTATATTGACATAATTCAATAAAAAAGAACCTTAACTAAATAAATAAATAATATATTCTAGGAGGAGAAGATGGTGAGATATTCAGAAACAGGAAAGGCTATTT